GCAACGTGCAGGTTGTCGAGATCTGACCACTTTAACTTGTCCAATCCCTGTTTCAAAGTTTTTAAGACTTTTGAACATTTTCCGCATGTTTAGTCATTTATATCTTCAGAAGGAGAACGCAGTTTTTCCAACTCTTTGCAGCTACCAAGAGTCCCTTTTGTGGTGTCTCACTGACATAAGTGGGGTGTGTCAATTGCATGCCTTTCTCGAGATCTGGGAGGTTGAAAATGGTCAAGAATTCTCAATTTGTCAATTTCTAAGCACAATCTAAGGTTTAAAAAAGAAGCCATTTCTCTCCCTTTCCCTGACACCTAGGTTTTATGACTCTGACTTCATCGTGTTGTTCGTTTTCTAAGCTTTCCAATGACACCAAACTCGTCTCCATCCGATAATAAATAAGAAAGTTATGAGCTTCGGAAAATTCCAGTTTTTCCTTTACTTTTGCATGTATCCGTGACTTTCACTTTCCACTTTCATTTCATTCGACCTAGATTGGGCATGACCTCGAGTCGGGCATCTTCGCTTTTAGCCCTATCCCTAACCCTAACCCTAACCCTAACCCTAACCCCCTAACCCCCTAACCCTAACCCTAACCCTAACCCCCTAACCCTAATCCTAACCCTAACCCTGACATTTTTATAAAGGAAAAGGGTTCTTCAAATGTTCCCCAATTTAATGTGGATATGTAGTTTTAGAAATTATTACTTCTAGGAAATTTATGGGTTTTTTGTCTTTAGCATCCTTTATAACAGAAATTCTTCAAAATTGCTTGAAGAACTCCATGAGTTTAACTTATGGTAAGAGCCTTCCTTAGGTTAACAAGTGTATGGTTGATAGCAAATGCTTAATCAATATATTGATATTTAAGGATATTCAAGAGTGTATGATATTGAAACTTTAAATATGTACAGGTCAGGTAATTTGGAAATTTTGATCATCAAGATTACACAAACACTGTACTTTCACACTATAGTTTTACAAACATGAAAAGTTTGAATTACTAAGGATTAATCATAATGACATAAAAGACAAGACTTACAAAATAAATATTAAAATACTCAGTCCTCCAGCTTGAAAGTTTTTACAGATTGAAAGCCTGAGAGTCTGAAAGCCTAAAAGTCTGAAAGTCTGAATCTCAAGATTCAATATAAATTGTATTTTGAAGGATTGAAAGTCAGTATATGATTTTGCTTGTAAAACTCTCTAAAATAAAGGAGCACATTCAGTGACATATTATAGAAAGAGTAGGAGATTTTATAATTACCTTATTCCTTACAAATAAAGAATATCACTACGAGATCCTTATAATGAAGTTTTACTGTAGCAGGAATGCATTGACCTTTAACCTGAAAAGTCAATAGAGGTGTTAAGATATTCATGGACAACAATGGTATAGCAAAAATTGTGCTGATCTTTGACCTGAAAATCAAAATATATGAAGTTTGTTTAATTAACCTATCCATGAAGTTTGGTGAATATTAACTAAACAATTGTCCAATTAAACAAGATGTCCACATCTCTTTGACCTTTTGACTAAAAACTTAATAAGGTCATTTATTTACCTTTGTTTGACTTTGATGAGTATCTTATATGTTGGATATATTAACAAGACACAATCTAATCTGAGTAAAGAGGAAACCTGGAAAAGCTTTTATCCCTTTGTATGAACAAATTAATTGATGTCATGCAGATATCTTAACCAAAATATCAGAACAATCTGATGACCCTTAAATATAAAGTTCTCATTATACTAGTCAGAAACTATTAGTCTACCTGTCAAACAAAAAATTTGAATGTCAACTCAACAAAGTAAGTAGGGTTCCTTTTCTTCAAAAAGTAAAATTTTGATGGATTGGGTGAGTGTTTGTTACTTTATGCCTATAAAGAAAAATATATGCCCTCCATTTTGACTGTATGGATTAAGAACTGTTTATATAATTGAATCAAACTTATTTCTTTCATGTCATTCTTAATGTCATAGTACCCATCATTCATAATATGTACAAGTCTCAATCCTAATAGATGAATCCACATTTTGTTTTTATTTCACATCACTTGGCGGCCATATTTGAGGGAAACTCAGAATTCTCTGTCCATGTTAATTTATGGTGTATACCTTCATCATTTGACATAACTCATTTGCTTTTTGTATTTTGATTGCCTAAATCAGAGCTATTCATACATAGAAACAGGACTAAAAATGAATACAGTGAATTTATGGCAATAATACCTACATGTTTGATACATAAAGAGAAATATATTTTTTCATTTCTTTTTTACCTTTGGATTGACCCTGAATAGAGATACCATTTACTTTTTGGCAAGAGTAAACTATATACTGCTTGACTAAACATGGTTTGTATATTGAAATATGAAATGGTTTCTTTAATGCTTAAATCATTATACTCCTACTGTCCTAGTGAGAATTATGCTCAATCAACTTTGTGAAATATTCCCAACTTCCAATGCTTCTTATTTACATTTAAAAAAAAAAAAACTGACTCAAATAAAATTGTTTGTTTTCTCATTTATTTTACAAGGAATTACATGCTAACAGTGAATCTAATCATTTTTTAAACTGGTTAAAGTAATGTTTACAATTGTCTAAAAATGCTCAAATGCAAGTTTATTTCATAAACAAATACCTTAAGTGTATAGACTAAATGTACTTATAGATTCAATATATAGACTAACCCCTTATAAATAGTAAAAATCATTTCTTAAACCTGATTTTCTTACCTATTCTCTCATGCATTACCTAATTTGAGTTGAGTATTCTCAAATTATTGATTACATGAACAAACAAATTTAAGACAAAACCACAATATATGCTGAATGCCCTGAAATGAAATGGTTACATATGTAAGATATGTAAGATGTGTAACACATCATGTACAACTTTTAAGTCTACAAAATTTTAAGTTAACCATATTATACAATAAGACTACTTTTTTCAAAGTTATGAGAAATTCTCCACAAAAAATGTATTTATGCAAAAGATAAATGTTAGGATACAATTTTAAAATACATTTTACATGAATCACATAGAGAACATATCAAATCATTTCTTTGTGGTTGTTTTCCATTGGAACATCTGTGAACAAACATTCTGTTTTGTCTTTTTTATTGATACATAAAAAGCGTCCAAAAATCATTTGGAATTGTTGTGTTAAACCCTGATACTCAGAATTTTAAGTGTTTTCTGATGTGTGCACTACTTAGAAATGTTTACAATGTAACAAAGATGAAACTCATAATTGATTTAATCAGCAATTATAAAGTCATCAGGTTTACACATGCTTTTCTAACACATCATGTACATTTTTTTTTTCTACTAGTATGTCTTTGTTCACAAAAAAAAAAATGAAATCAACAGTACTTAGCATTCCATATTAAGAAATATGAACTCTAGCTATTAAAAATCTAAAAGTATATTTGTGCATCAATGCAATATGTTTAACAAAACAATCTCTGTCACTGTGATGAAAATTGTCTTCTTCATATAACATGCAGATGAAGAACTTCTTTGGATGATGTCATTTTCACATTTAGAAAAGAAACTAATTCAACTAAAACTAAAAGACAGTCATTAAAATTTTAAGGACATTAAAGGATGATATCAAGACTGAACTCCAGGAATTGATAAAATTCTACAATTATCATCCAAAGATGTATATGTTTGGATTTATTTTTTAATTCACAAGCAAATGATATGCTGCCATTTAATCTTTCAAACTTAAATTCTATACTTTTGATTTAAAAATTTCAAAATCTAGAGGAGTCTTCCCAATACCTATCTACATGTATTTATGACTGAAGGTATGTAAATCACCAGAGTTGCTGAACTGCACCATTTGAATAAAAGTCATATCCACATTCTTGACTTTTTTCCCTAAACCTTATTTCAAAACATAAATTATTCCAACCAGTCTTTATCTACGCAGTGATAATAAATTTTTTACAGAATTCTAAGGTATTACATAGTAATAGTCTTTAAACATCCTTGAACATAGTGCATATGATTTACATTTCAATCCTTTCCTAAGAATTTGCACCTAATTTTTATAAAGTCTATAAGTTATCACACAATGTTTAAGTTATTGCATTACAGGATTCAAATCAGTAATCTCAGTTAGTAACTAACTTTTACCCAGGAGTAAATGATCCAAAAAATCTATAGAAATATCTTATTGATTCTTCATCTGTGTACTTATGATGTGAAGTTTGTAAGTTACAAATTATTGTCAAAGAAGTCATCTCAATAATCTTATGCTTTGACCTTGACAAAGTGTCCTAAACAACAAAGTGTATTCCTACAAACATTCAATATGTAATTAGTATGATGAATATGATATGATAAAGATATTCAAGATATTATTAAACCACAGATTATGGGACACTTGCATCTTTATTGGGGGTCTTATTGAGACCAATTTTAAATTCAAAATTAAAAAATGATACATACACAAACAAAATATATTTACCATTCCAGGAAAGTTAAATAATAATATTAAATCCAGCATCTGAATATCTGTGTAATTTCTAGGGGGTTATAGAAATAAGATGAAAAATAAAAGGTTTAAATGTATACTTCTCATACATAACAACAGTCTTCAATAGAAATTGGTAAAAATAAAAGTCACATTCAGATACTTTGAGGTCTGTGAGAATTAATTTTTAAAGAGTTCATGCTATCAGAAAATCATATTTTCAATACAATTGTACTTGATTTGACTAGATCTCAGTTTAATAAATAGGTACATCTTATCCATAGTCAGTGTCTGACAGTAAAAAGATACAATCCTGTTACTTTGTCATCCCGTAAACCACAGTCTATGATAATACTGATTAAATTCGTTGGAAATCATATTTATTTATGTTATTGCATTACAGGACTCAAATCAGTAATCTCAGTAACTAAGTTTTACCCAGGAGTAAATGATCCCCAAAAAAATCTATAGAAATATCTTATTTTTTCTTCATCTGTGTACTTATGATTCTTAAATCCTCCATCCATCTCCTGTTTGATTTTCTTGTTTCAGTGTTCCAAGAGAGGATATTCTGTTAGTCTTTGCATAATCTGATAGTCTTTCACCATTCTGAGAGTAGACATAGATCATTTCCATAAGCCCTCACTAGAGAATCCTGGAAAATTAAAAAAAAATGTCTTAGTTGAAAAAAAAAATTGTTATATAATATAAGCTTGATGGAATTCTAAATATAGACAAAAAGGGTATAAATACAAGTTGTAACATCAGATTTTGACTTTTTCATATTAACCATGGGTAACACCTCCAGTAAAGAAAAGAGTAAAGGAATGAGTAAAATTCAGTTTGGAAAGAGAGTTCTTTCAGAGAAAGATGTAGACAGAGGTATACCAGTTAAAATAAAAAAAGATGGCACTATTGAGATCATTTCTCAACAAGAATATAATCAATTAAGTCCAGAGAAGGGTGATCCTAATGTTGTCAGAGATTACATAGAAAGACCCTTGATCTTGCAGAAGAAGCCAATGAGAAATATAACCATTTATTACCAAAAGAGGGTAAGAATTACTTGGATTACCCTGAAAGACCTTTGACTAGAGAAGAAGTCAAGTTTATAGATGATAAGAGAAAACAGTTGTCAGAAAAAAATGTTGTTAAAGACACATGAATTTTAGCCCACAAAACCATTGGAGAAGATACAAGGATTAATGGAGGAAGTCCAAACTGAACTCTTGGAGGACATTAAGGCTTATTATGAGAGTAACTTTTCCAGTATTTGTTTATTACAAAATTATGTATTCTAATAAAAAAAAAAAAAAAAGTTTTCACTTTCATTTGTTGTGCCTTAGACCATTTAAATTGACCTTATGGTTAAGATTGTGATACACACTCTGATAATCATCTATGATGTCTCTATCATGTTTACCTCAAAAGATTGAATCAGGGTATTTGTGTTCAAAGAGCTGAAAAAACTATACAGACAGATCTAAGATTTTGGAAGCATACATATTAATGGGTTTAAATGAGATATAACACTAGATTATTAAAAAGAAAGAACAAAAACTCATAGAAATGATATTGAAAGTACCTTTTATGAATAAAGTGTCATGCTCCAAGGTATATTTTTTATAAACAGGAGAAGGTTTACAACAGTCCCATGCACTCATAAGAAGATCTTGGGTAGTAGAAACACCAGGGAATTTTAATTCCACACAATCAGATTATCTTACATCAGTTATAAGGTTACAGTCTTTATACATAGTTAAGAGGGTCATTAAGATTTCTTTTCTGGTCATCCTGATGTGCTACATTATAGTATTCTTTCCCTGTGATATAATGTTAATATTAAATGGGAAATTCAGAATTCATCAGCAATTGGAGTCAAAACTTGCTATCTTTACCAACTATGATATTAAGGAAGCTGGGGGGGGGGGGGGTTACAAATTAGCCATATTTAACTTATTCTATAGATATGCTATCTTCAGCTGTTAACTATCATTTGGCAAAGAAAACTTTCATACATTTTAGTTTCAAAATTTGATCATGCATTTTTGTATATATATTGAAATGGAGCTCTTCTTCTTCTTCTAAAGGAGATCAATATAGTCTAAAAATGACCATGACCACCAAGCCCTTTTTATTTAAATATATCATTTACATATCAATTCAATATTATAAACATGCATATGTAAAAAAAAAAATAAATAAATAAATAAAAATTACAATTGTATCTCATTGAAACTTTACCTTCAAGTTTGTGTGTTTCTATGTTGGTTGACTATAACTGTGTATTTCCAAAGGAAGAGCAGACAGTCTGAACTTCATAGAGAATGGATTATATAGATGGTTAGGAACAATACATATCTTCCAGGTTGAGGACTGTATAGAAAATAAAACCATTTTGTTAATATGACAGAGTACTGTGTGAAACAATGCATGTTTAAAAATTGAACAAACATGTACAATGCCAAAAAAGTTCATGAAAATGTTTGTTTTTAATCTCAAAACAAATTGTTTTTAACATTAACTCCAGATGAGAAAAGTTCATCATGTTATCTTTAGATAATAAAAAAAGCACAATTACTATATTGATATCTAAAATAAAATGATTATCAAATTAATTATTTAGACACTAAAAGATTTTTTATTAACAGCAGATTCAATTTTGTTTAATATCTGTCAGTACTGCATACAGAAAAATACATCTTTTTTAGCATCATCACAGTACAACATGTAGTCCTTAATTTTTTGAAAAGCTCATTACTAAGAAACAAAAGTGAAAATGAAAATATATGTATGCCATATATCCCACATATTTAGAATCAAAACAAAAAGTAAATAACTTAGGATTAATCTTTTGTAAATTCCTCCTTTTCTCTTATTAGATTCCTAATTAATATCTCTTTGATCACCATTTAGTAAGTCTGAATTCCATGGCCATGGGTAACATACATAATGAATTATGAAATTATATAATTTATACAAAAGGACTTATTAATATTCTGAAGATCCCTTAATCATGTGTTAATATATTTTAGGTTAAATAAGGGTGTGCTTATATGAATGTAAGTTAGAGACAACAGATCACATAAGTATTACACAGTAATTAAATTAACCATATAATCATGCTTAAATGCAAAGATGACCATCATAGGAAATGTAAACAAAACAAAGACAAACTTACCAGAGATATCCAAATATATGCCCAATAAGTCTATCCATTAAATAATCCAGTGAAATAACATCTCAGCTGATCCTGAAAAAAATCATACAATTCAGTGATACACAATTAACCTCATTTTACAATGTAAGTAAAGCAATAATTTACAGACAAAAGGGACAGAAATGTAAAAGATACCATGTATTTTACCGAAATTTAGTGAATATTTTTCTGATTTAAATTCAATCATAGAATGACCCATCATAGAAATATTAAATGCACTCTGAGTTACATGCAGGTTATGTACAAGGTACAAGTGTAAATCACATGAAATGAGGATAAATACAGTATTGACATTCAAAATAGAACTTTACATTATTATGATTAAATGCAAAGATGACCTTCATATAGGAAATGTAAACAAAACAAAGACAAACTTACCAGAATTATCCAATTATATGCCCAATTAAATAATCCAGTGAAACAACATCTTAGCTGATCCTGAAAAAAAAAGCATACAATATTCAGTGATACTCAATTTAACCTCATTTTACAAAGGAAGTAAAGCAACAATTGACAGACAAACAGGACAGAAAAACATGTTTAAATGTAATGCAAAATAATATCTCTTATATATGGATACCTATACTCTAATCAATCATATTAAATGTCATTCGTAAAATGTATTTTTTAAGACAGATTTATTTAGGATCGACTTTTTAAATGATAACATGAATAGCACGCCATACTTTAACCACATGTCAAAACATTCTCTCAAATTACACAGAAATGGGTTATTTAGCATAGCTGACATTAAACATATAGGTGAGCGATAACATAATCACAATCATAAACAATGTGAAACAACTTTAAACGACCTACACTGTGGATTACAAGCCTTTTTCACTGGGGTAAAATCTTGCCGAAATTCGCCATGGCTGCCCGAAACCCCGAACCCGACTGTATAAAAGATGAAGTCATACAATAACATAACACTGATGTAGTATTACATGATTTTTTTTATTTTATTTCTTAAAAACTATAAGGGGAGTTTACCAAAAAAAAAATTAATAAGAAAAAAAAATTAAAGTTATTTTAAAAAAGTTAAAAAAATTTATGTTTTTTTAAAAAAAAAAAGTTTAAAAAATTTAAAAAGAAATTCTAAGTTTTTTAAAAAAAGTGACCTGGTGTTATAACTTGACAGACATAACACACACATGTTTTTTGTATTGTGTGTTATTTGTTATTGTCTTTCAGTAAAAAATTCAGTTCAAACTGGTTAGGCTGGCTAGACTAGGCTGTCTAGACTGTAAATGAAAAAGTGTGACGTCATAATCACATTGTATTTATACAGTGAATGACGTCACAATGCATAGGTAAGTTTATCGTACTTTTTGCACACGGTACTTTATAGAGGATGCAAACAGGTAAATATAAGGAAAACACAGGTAAAAGGTATATTTCTTTTGCACACAACCCTTATGTTTTTGCACACGGCACTTTATAGGTGATGCAAACAGGTATATAAGAAAACGTAGGTAAAAAGTATTTTTTGCACACGACCCTAATGTTTTGCTCACGGCACTTTATAGAGGATGCAAACAGGTATACATATATATAAGAAAACGTAGGTAAAACGTATATTTCTTTTGCACACGGCCCCTAAAAATAAAATCCATGCTATATATATAAACCAGCGCTGAATAATGAGGATCATTCTGTGTGATTACTTTTAACTCGACAGAAGTAAAATATGGCAGAGGAAAATACAAAGGAGACCGTACCAGAAACACAGGATCTTTTAGATCTAGATGAAAGAAGTTATTTGTGCCTTATCCTAAATAAAAAGAAAGAAGCGGTGACAGAGATTAGTGATCTAGGAAGGGAGATAGACCAGTTAGAGAGTGTCAAAAAAAAAGTTTGGCATTGATTGACAGGTGCCATGACATCATTATTCAGTCAACTTATCTTGTCAATGAAATTCTGGCATCTGGCATTGATTGACAGGTGTCATGACGTCATAATTCAGTTAAATTCAATTCCTGAATGAAAACGTCATTTTCTTCTATGAAACATGTATGAAACTTATATTATTTTGAGTCAATATTCATATTAAAAGCATAATTTCAGTCACTTTCATACAAGATAGTCAACATTTCATACAAGAATTGATTTGACATGATGACAAAGCGAAATTCTGTCGTCTGCTTTGATTGACAGGTGTCATGACGTCATAATGACATTCTTGAAATGTTTTGCACACGGCGCATTTACCTGTGTCCATAAACAAAACGTAGTACCAACGTACCAATGTAAACACAGTGTAAACAACTCCGTATTTAGGGGATAGGTTAAGGGTTAGAGGGCTAGGGGGGTTAGGGTTAGGGATAGGGATAGGGGGTTAGGGTTAGTTAGGGTTAGGGTTAGGGGGTTAGGGTTAGTTAGGGGGGTAGGGTTAGGGTTAGTTAGGGTTAGCACTCCACTCAGTTGACCCACCTATCCCCATCACCAATCAGAATCCTCCATTTTGAACCTCATTTGCATAAAAAGTGCACTCAGTTTGACCAGGTCATCCACCCGGCTTCCGGCTAGGACATTTCTGGCTAGCCCACTTCCGCTTCCGCTAGGGCCCACTTCCGCTAGACCACTTCCGCTAGACCACTTCCGACCACTTCTACATACTTTTTGGAATACGCTATATGGAACAGTTTTGTTAAAATATCGTTTGATATGAATTAATTTAAAATTTGTTCTTGTATTATGCATGTTAACATGTAAATTTCCTGACAAGCAGGAGAAAAAAAAACTGAAAACAAATAAACAAAATAAAACAATGATAGTGGGATCAATGTTTTTTAAGTTAGGGGGAGAATGTCCATAGTCATTTTTTATTTGCTTCAGTATACAGTCTTGTTTAAATAATAAAGCGAATTCCAGGGGGGGTCCAATCTACCTACCAACTCCCTGTCCCTGAAATAACAATCTATTTTGTGATTCCAATTAAATAGTATTTTTTTTTCCATTTGACTAATTATACATATTTTGTTTCTTTTTTGTTTATATTATGTCTGTCTATTTGTCTGCAGAAATTATAACCTTGCCCATAAGATTTAAGTGGAATGGGCTATACAAATGGCTTCCACATTTTATAGGTTTATTTCTTGTGACAATTAAGACCTTTTATTTGGGTACCATTAATTTTTACCTCTGATCGCTTGACCTAGGATACACATTTTTACAAGAAAAATACCAAACTTTAAACTTGGCCTAAATTTTGATCAGTAGGTGCTAGGGCTTTCATGCTTAACATGTGTATTCATTGTGAATTGTCAACAGGTATAAATATGTTTGACCTTGACCCTAGAGTTTGAACCACTTAAAAAAAATTATCCTTGGCAAGTAACTTTTGAACAGGAAGTACTAGGGATTACCTATTTCAAATGTGCATTCCTTGTGACAAGACTTTCTTCTGATACCAACAATTTGAACCCTTTGACCTTGACCTTTGAGTTTGACATATATTTGAGAAACTTCA